TGAGTGGATATCATATTAGCAAAACTGACTAATGTTTACAAGGACAAAAATAAACTAAGGACATTTTCAATATATCGGGCTTTGTAATATCTAGAACTGATTCTATTCCCTATCTCCAATACCGACCAATGATAGCAAAAATAATTCCCTAGCTTTCTGATTAGGTTCTGATAATTTGGCTGTGTTCTTGCTATGTTAATTATTTTCATCAATCTGTTATGAAATTTATGATTTTTCTTTATTTTCTGATTACATCTTGATGGTTTATTATATTTGTAACCACTGAGATTTTTTCCCACTCTGTCGTGTCTTTATCAATGATAAATTCAAACTTAATTGTAGATATTTTTAAAATTGAGCATTCCATGATTAACAAGTCAAATTGTTAAGTGGCTTGACTTTTGATAAATTGATACATTTAATTTTTTAGTCTCTGGTCTTTAGTCAGTTTAATTTTTGGAGAATCTCAATATATTAGAATCACCGAACCGTCCACTTTCCAAATTCATTATTGTCATTTATAATTATGACAGTAAATTTGAATGACCACGAAGTCGAGTCGCTAGAATTCAATCATTATAATAAGGGTCGGATTTCTTTATGAAACCTAGATAACTTTTTCCAGAGCTCGTATTCGAATTTTTTGGACAATTTTGAGGCTTGGCAAATTCAAATTTTTTTCTTATACTTATATTGGCTTTTCTGTGTTCTCTCACTATGAACCGTTTCTAAATAAAAGTGGTGCATGGCATTTTAGTAGCACTGTTGATTAGCAGAGAAAATCTCTTCTGTGTTGTTAACTTTTGGAGACCATTTTCAGAACACGCTTTAATACACATTGCTCTTCATACCACCTTTTCTTCCATGGGCGAGCATGCTTTCACGTTGTTGATATATATATATTGCTATATATTAGTGTTTTGTAGTGTTTTAAAAATTGTTTACATAATTTTGTTTTGTTTTATATTATGTTTTTTTGATGTTCTTATATAAAAGAAGAAGTGTAATTTGCCATCGACGGATAAATCAGAAGGGCTATAGTGCACCAGAATATTCTCACTCTTTCTGGTTTACGGGAGACTAATAATACGGAAGAGGCCTTCGTTGACCGTCGTTGACCAGTTCTTTGGTGTTGTGATTTTTATCAATTAGTTCGGCCTTGAAACGATCATGCAATAAATCGATAATATTTTGATATAGATTTTTACGATTTATTTGAAAGTTTTTGCTATAAATTTACACTTTGTTATCACTGATTTGGTAACAAAAAAACATAGAAGGTAATGGTAACAGAATAACAGGAAAACTTATCAATTTTCGATGCAGCTTTAAATTGCAAGGCATACACCTAGCAAATATCACATTTCATGGACACGTTTTTTGTGCCTTATGCTCAAAATTTTTAAAATGTTTTGAGGCCCTGATTTAGTTCATTTATGCACATAGAAATTTGGTATATTCCGCACTCCGAGATAGAGAAATAGAGAGATAATTTTGTAGAGACAGACAATCGCGACCCCCTCGTGCTTTCAATTCTCGTCCGATCCTTTTTACAGTATGTTGAAATATTCTACACTTTACAATTCCAAAGTCTAGCAAAAGATATGGATAACATGCCACTGGAATGAAGTGTTTTGTCACTGTGAAATTAGATAATTTTTGCACCATCCGTGGTTCATTGGCCTTCAGACTTCAAGTATTTAAAAAGCGTTTGCTTACATCACTACGGTACAATCTCTGTGTTGGGTTTGAATATTTCTTAGGTAACCAGCAAAGTTGCAGCAAAACCACTCATATTGAGAGCAATGCTGAAGGCGTCTGATTCTTTCTTTTTTGCAAGTCGGCACTCTTTGATAAAACCTAAGTTCTGATCTTAGGAAATTGCGGTATTTGATCACTATAGTGTAATACCCAGACTTGCAATTACGGAGGCCACAAGCTCTTTGTTTCTCAATCTTAATTACAGCAACTCATTTTCACCGTGAGCAAAAATGAATCATTTCTGCGAGCAATTCTGGCTGCTACGAAGTGACGCTACCATGCAGGGCCGCCGAGATGGCTGAGACCCATGCCACACCCAGGGATAGGCCTAATACTAGGGCCCTTCATTAAATTTGGATGTATACATAATAGTTTTTATTTACTTTCAATTTATATTCGTATAGCATTGCTAAACTTTACCAGTACAGATAAATTGTAATTGCAATTACCGGGTTTTGAGTAATACTTTAAAAAAAACAGTTTAATCGCCAACGGGCCCCTCTGTTTACGGGCCAAGGGGCGATTGCCCCCTTGTCCCTCTCTCGGTGGGCCTGGTCCCATGACCGTGTTTGTGACTTCCCATGGATGTTTCAACTGCACTAGCCTAACAATGTTTTTTGGAGTGGGAAAAGGGGCTGGGCAGACATTACCCGTTGCTCTCCTTTTGTTTAATTACAACTAACAACGTTTCGATCAGTATCATTGTTCGAAGTATAAAGGTGTCCCGGATCTTTAGATGTGTCCATAAGTGGGAATTCATGCCCTGGGAAAATTATTCGGTTTTTATAAACAAAATTTTAATACCATTGTTGATACATTTATGCACGTAATTAACTTTTTCCTTCAGCCGGATTTCTTCCGCGTTGCACTTTTTGCTTTTACCTTTTCAAACTGATTCTATACCCTGCACATTGCTTTGGTGACGGTGTTCTGATTGGCTGGACGCGAATGCAGGAATGTTTTGGTCGTATTCTGTTTGAGTTCTTTACATAAATCAAGCTATAATGCTTTTACCCTTGGATGGAGCTTTCCTGCAGTCCATAATAAGGGGCCCCGTCTTCCTTATGGGCCCAAGTACCTCTGTTACCTTTGTCTACATGCCGTTAAATCAAAGGCACAAAGACCAGAGATGCCAGAAGAGCTGTTGTGGCGGGATCTTTATCGAAGAGGTGTGACAAAGAGAAAAAACTTTGTTCATATTTTCTGTCTTATTCAACATCATATTGTATTAGTATACGTCATGTTCTCATGATGTAGAAAAACAGCAGCAAAGGTTTCAACTTTCTTGATTATACCAAATTTAAACGTTGTATCACTTGAGAATGACTGAAGGATAATTTCAGGCTCAGAATCAAAAAAATTTAAAATTGAGTGTTTGCAAAAATTGAGCTATTTTTATAAATGAGTTGGTACTGAATAGTTGTCAATTCAACACCTTCCTACCATTCATAAAGCTGGTTCATTAAAAAAATCATTGATTTGTTTAATATCTTGTAACTATCAACTTCTTCTGGTAGGCCTTATCGTCTTCGTAACAGCTATTCCTTAAGAAATAAAGCAAATCAGCACTCATTTCAGTGGTACCGTGAAGAGAGGCTCGAGGGATCAGCCCCTTCCTTAAAAAGCCACAGTAAGCGTTTGGGACAGCATTCCTGCTCATTTAGGTCGACACCTATGCTTATTGCTTTCCTGTTTAGTGTTAATATAAGTCTTTAATTGTTAATGTTAATATTAGTGTTAATATAATCCAAAGAATGAAACGGCAACAACTTTGCCAATTCATGCAGGAAATATCTGCAAATAGCGAGCAAAACATTTTGATTTTACCAGAACTTTGCAGCCAGCAATCTGTAAACAGCTATCTAGAATTATATTTGAATGACGTCATAACTTATGAATTCTATTAGTCCCGTTACTATGACATGATTTATGTTGCTAAGGCTTTTTATTTTCATTAGGTTTCTGTAAACATTTTAATGACGCAAAGTAATTTGACCTAATGCCAGAAAAATGCCTTTGAAATGGTTTGTGAGATACATTATCTACAGAAATGGCACAAAAGCAGACAATCTTCTGAAAGTCGTTCTCGGAGAATGGAAAATCCAAGGGACGCCTAAGACAAAGAAAGTCAACACAGATAAGAAAAACGAACAAAGGTCCACAGTGTAACCTAGGAATCTGTTGCAACGAAACGCGCCTGTGATGGTGATGTTATCTGTTAAAATCTGTCTGGTTCAACTTCTCTATCCAAATCTAGGAGACTCTCTGCTTCCACAGGTTTCTAGTTAACGATAAGAAGCTTCTATTCATCAGCGTGGATAAACCTCCCTGTCTTGGATTAAGGCAGAGCTGAGGAAGCAATAACAAACATGGCTGCCGTATAATTCCTTTCTTGATAGAGGTCTGTCTGCTATTTATGAGAAAGAAATTCAGCTTAACCATTAATCATGGAAAGAATTCATTTAGCTTCCTTTATCTCAATTTTGACCCGGTCTTTATTTGTGAACGCTCTTTTAAAGGCATTTGACATGCATAAGTACAGCGAGTCCAAAAATAACTTAGGCCGAATTGATCAGAGCACGCCAATGATATTGAAGCGCCTCTATATCATTGGAGCATGCGCACAAAAATGGAATTGGAAACTGCTCACGTGAAACCACGGCGCGCTGCTCTAGGAATTCACCCATTTGCAGAATAACGGAAACTGTTCACGTGTTTTTCTCTGTGCGAAAATTGATTGGTCAACCGCTCGTGGTCGAGTGGCTGTAAGCCACTTTTACTTTCATTGCTCATGGATGGGTCTGTAGCTGTGCCGTCTGTTTTTCGTGGGACTGGGTATTTCACCTATCGACGGTTTTTTGCGTTTTCCAAAACATTTTCCCAAGTATGGTGCTTTTCCAGAGGAGTTGTTCCTAGAAATCTACGGGGCGCTGCAGCACCCTATAGTACACTTTTTTATTTCATTTTCATTCCTTGCTATTCAGTACTTTTATGAATTTGAAACGGAGCCAAAATTTGCAATTATGGAGGGATGCCTGGCTCCCAAACTGACGCCTTTGAGGCTTACCAGCATAATTTCTCTAAAAGAAAACTATTTTATGCAGAGACATAAAAGAACTAGAATCCAGTTATTGTGTCACGAGTTTTTTAAGACTGGGAAGAAACGCAAAAGGAAGGAGGAGTAATTGACCCTGTAGCTGAACTTCCCTTTACTAACATTAAAAAATACTCGATTTCAGATGCATACCCGCAACGGTACACAGCCGGACAGAAGAAGAAGCAAAGAAGATATCGAACCACATTCACTCAGTTCCAATTAGATGAACTGGAAAGAGCGTTCGAGAAGACACATTATCCAGACGTTTTCATGAGAGAAGAACTAGCTTTGAGGATAAATCTAACGGAAGCAAGGGTGCAGGTTTGTGCCTTTTAGCTTATGAAACTAATTGAATACATCAACTCGCCATGATTTAATAAAACCGTTTGCGATATTTTCGACTTGACTGCGAAATGGCATCTAATTAAGTGCAGTGATAGCCGTAAATGAATTTTCCATTCTCAATCAATGGCCTTTTGTCATCGATTTTATAATTTCATTTTTCACGTTTGAATTTTACAAGATGTACTGGTTGCTATTGGGGCAGAAAGATTGGCTTGTTTGAGATGAAAATATCAGCAAGAGTAAAGATGCTCTTTCTCGGCCATTTTTGTACCTAAAATCCACCGTTTGTTATAAAATCGGAGCAATAAAGTTATTCAGCATTAATCGGAGCGGAGGTCAAAGGGTTGCTCAGGTAGTCGTCATTTCGATTTTCGACCACTGCCGTGGCATGGCCGGTCATATCTCAAAATGTCGTTCAAGAGTTACGAGATGCAGTGAAATAACGAACTTAGCAGGGAACCAGAAATGTTTTGCCGATTATGAAAAATTGATTTCCCACAAATTAAGTGATAAATGAACACCGAAATAAAAAATAAGAATAACAGATGAAACATTTATGAAAAGTTCGTTATATGGAGGTTAATCATGACAAAGGGAGCTAAAAATTAGTTCGTAATAACGAGAGTTTGTTATATCCAGAGTTCGTTATACCGAGAGAATTTGTAAGGAGTCTGTTAGGCAAAATCCAAGGGACCAGATATTTAGTTCGTTATACTGGGAAGTTCGTTATATCCGGGGTTTGTTATATCAGGATTCCACTGTATCTTATACTTAGTAATGATAATAAACCTGCTTCAGTTCTCCATCCCCGGAGCAGTTAGCTGCTTTTCAAATTTTCAAGCAGAATTTTAAAGCCACAAATCTTATGAAACAAATTTCACAAAGAAAAAACTTGATTTTATTCCATTTTCGAAACGAGGAGCATATCACAATACAAAATGTCGTATGCATTTGGCAGAAATCCTTTTGTTTTCAATACAAATCCCCAAAAAATCCCTGAAAAAAATTTCTCGGCAAATATTTAATTCTTGAAGTTCATCTTGAGCTCTGTAAGGTGCGCTTTTGCCCTGATAGAACACCCCACCCCCCGGTAGTGACGGCCTTGTTTTCATGAGTGTTGTTTTTTGTTATGTTTGAGTGACCTCGATTTCATCTTGTGGCCTAGAAAATGTATATATTTTTAGAAAGATTTTTTTCAGGCTTATTCACAAAAATATGAAAACATCTTGTGTTAATTTTTTATTGTAACATTCAGGCACCGTGGTAAATGAGGTCATCTTCAATAGACCCCTTTCACAATAACGTCACGCGGTGTTTGAAAGAGAGACGAGCGTTTGGAGTCGAGGCAACTGATGTAGTCGGCTGTGCGAACGTTCGGGCCTCTTTGGACATCTACAGAGTCGATAATATATTTCTACGTTTAAGAATTTTTTACGCCCGATTTTTCATTGAAATGGATGCATTCAAATTGTTGCTGCCGAAGGAAAAGAAAGTTGATTGTTTAGAAGATCTTGGCGCATTGACTATTAAAGAATTGAAGCATATTCTTGTAGCATACAGGGAGAAAACTTCCGGTGTCAAAGCCGACCTTATTCTTCGTGCATATGCTGTCTTTTGTCGTGCAAAGAATTTCAATTCTCAATCCAATGACATTTCAGATGAGTCCTCCTTACTTTGTCACGAAAATGATTTCACATTCACAGCTACGCCGCCTTCCTACAACATCCTGATGTCGGCCATATATAAAAGTCTGATTTGCTTATGAATGTTAAAGGGGAAGGTCTTGTCATGAAAAAAGAAATTTGATACGTAGAGTTTTCATAAGATTTTTGTACTGCTTACATCTGGAATTTTTACCACAAGTCGTATGCAGGGGGTTGCCGAAGTTGGGGAGTGTTCATTTAACAAGTTGTCATAATGATATAAGACTAAGAGTACTCGCTTACAACACCCTTTCATTTAGAAGTACAAAATAAACCTAATTTTGAAATGATATGTGGATTTTTTGCAAATAAACCCGAAAACAGTCTTCCTGAAAAGGTCGTACGAGGGCTGCAGCAAAAAATATCTTAAAAATTTTGAAACCCTATTTAACCACACAATTTCTGGCTGAAAACTTTTGAAATCAATAAAGCAAGCGAGCAAAATATAACCAACCTTTCAAAATTATGCTAACTTTTGATAATCTTGGTTTTTTTGGTCCAACTTAAATGAGCCCATATGCGGAATCGTCTTTTTGCCCTTTTACCGCTTGAGTGATTTTGCCTCACCGGCTCAATTATGACCAGTTAAGCCCTGGCCAAACGAGCCAAAATTTCACCCAACATTTCAGCCAACACGCTCTTTTCGCATGTAGCGCCTTCAACGCTTCTATATCATTATTCCTTTGATAGCAGCCTAGTCAATGTAATTTTTATTATCAATTATTAGAGTTTCCTTTTTTTGTTTTTTAATTAACCAAGTTTTTGTATCTCACTGTTTGTGGTTAATTATTATTGCTTTATTTAGCTATCAATTGTCCTTGTATAAAGTTTAGTGTAAATAACTGTGTTACTGTTTGTTTGTTGTTGTCATTCTACTATCCTAATTTCTGTCCCATTTCATTTCACATATTTTAGAAAACAATGCTTATTTTCAAGGGACGCTCCACTTAAACATAAAGGAAAGGCTTTTGCATAAAAATTAAATTAACCTTATTACAATTCAATATATGCAATTTAGAAATTGTAAAAAAAACCTTACGTTAATCTGAATATAGTAATTTAATATAAACATCAGCGATAAAAAGACCGAATGGTTTTTTAAAGTTGCTCAGGGAAAATATCCGTTTACACTCAGCTGAGAGGCCAGTCCAAGACCTAGCACTTCTAAATGAGAAGCATTGCTTTCCATTTTTGAGAGTTTTTCTGTAGTAGCCTTAGCTCAGTTAATGTATTCCTAAGATTCCTAGAAGTTAACTTGAATATTTTTGTGAAAAGATTACACATCTAATCTATTGTGGAGCTAGTCCATGTTCTGCTCAGTTAGAGTTGTCAGAAGGGCGTGCTAAGGTTTAAAAAAGCCCAGTAGTTAGAAGCCAAAAAACATCACGGATTTTGCATATTTGATTAGAAGCATTCCAGGGTGTTCTTTTAAGTTATTTGGTCCAAATTTAATAATTCTAAAGATATATTTTATCATCACACTTAAGAATTATTGGCATGTAAGAATTCTATTGGCACTCTTACTTTTACTTACATCAAGAACATTGGCACAACGGCTTGACTCCAACCAAGAACGTCGCCGCCAATAACCGCCACCAGTAACCACTACCAGTGACGGTTCCTGTCGCGTGGCCATCGTCAATCATTTTCTCGGTTAGACATTCCCAGATTGAGGGTTGGATAATAGTTAACAAATACATTATATCATTAAACAAGATAAAACACCTAGAAAATTAACAAAAATATAGCCTCAGTTATAGACAATTTGAAAATCATACTTCGATTTCAGGAGAGTGTGTGCAATGATGATGATTAAAGCTCGATTGGATCCGGATTTAGTTTGAGGGCTTTTTATACCCTAAAAGAGAACAGACAATTATCAGAATACAGAGACTTGCTAAAAACCTTCTTAAAAATTGTTTTACTTTGAAATTGCAGAAATCCTTGCAATTTCAACATTTACCGTATTACAACAGTAAAACATTTGGACAATCAAGCCTTACCTCGTACTTTATCCCTTTCTTTATTCCACTAAATAGCTATTGCCAACATTTTTGTGCCTTGATTAGTAGAAGTGCTTAGAATTTCTATTTCTTTCTATGCAGGTTTGGTTTCAAAACCGCAGAGCAAAGTGGCGAAAGAGGGAGAAGTTGACGATGGCCTACCAACAGCAGCAACAGCAAAATAGCATGCTTCCAGGAGGGACACCTTGTGATATCCAAAGCCCTTATCATCTGTCATCGAGCCCAAAACAGCCAGCAGCTTCACGTCCTGGCGTACCCTCCCTGACACACCACGGGCCTTTTCAACCATGGACCCAGGCTTATTATTCGCAGCCAAATTCCTTCCCAGGCTTCCCAGACTACCACTCTTCGCAGGTACCTTATCCTCGACCAACACAGTATTATTCATCACCTAACAGCACACGCATTTCTGATGCAGATACGTTAATACAGCCTACCTCCCCACCATATGGACAGACTGGTTTTAGTGGCTCAGTCAAAGGCCATAGCCAACTTATTTACGCGTGACAATATGGAAATCCGCAGAAATAAATCAACGATATTTTGAAGAAGTTATCGCTGAACTTTGCTGGTAAAAGGCTGATAATATCCTAATATTTTCAAGTGCATTTAGAAGGGACTGGTTGTATAGAATCAAAGGGGTGCTTTTTCAACAATATTTAGCTACTTCGTTTTGTTATGGAAGTTCCATCGTGGAACTCAGATTTGTGCTTTTAACTAGAATCGCAAGTAGTTTACAAGTCTTTGACTATGCATGGCTTGGGCTTTTCAGTTTCCTTTTAATGGTTTGCTATTGGATCATCACCATTTGTGACTCACATACTGGCTGTTAGTGAACTGCCCATCCCCCAGGAACTGCCCCTCCCTCAGGAACTGCCCTTCCCCCAGGAAGTGCCATTGGCTCAATTTTTAAAGGCTTAATTAAACCTACCTATTAAGTCTAATTACACTGCCGACCACTTCATCCCGAGAAAAAGTTTCTAATTTTGTTTCATCTACTAACGGAAACAAGATTCAGAGGTTCATAACCCAATCAAGTGGATACAATAAGGGTTTGATTAGACTTCGTCTCGATATATTAAGGGATGTGAAGTCAAATACAATCTTCCCAAAGTGCATTAAACTCGATTTTCCTTATTCAGTCAAATCAATGGCGAACATAGACAATAACCCAATCAATCGAGGCCAAAAAAAGTTGATCTGATTACAATGACAGTCTTTAAATTTTACTACTTTTATAAAATGAATTTTCCCTCTTTTCGCTCATTTGAAGACCCGAAAATTGCACCCAAAATTGTGTACGTTGCAAAATTGACAAGAGATTATAAGCAAAATTAACGTACATTAGAAAGTTTACCAGTCAACCAGTCAAATGGCAATGACCCGCTATTGCTGCTAAGTTGAAATGTGTCTCGACGCTTACCTCTCGAAGGTATTGGTCATCTAGTGTAATAAACCAGGGCAGTGCTTTTTGCAGTGTGAATCAGATGACTCCGGCCGCATAAGACGTGATGCGATACGTAGTCAAGTGGGAAATGATGCCAGCGAAGTGCCTAGTCGGTGGTCAGTCAATTACTGTTTACTCAAAACGTGACACAATTCATTTACGGCTATGCAGCCCTGCATCTTTTCCATTAGCAAATCCATTCATCATTGATGCATATTGTTCAAGTTCTGATCATGCATAATACATATCGTAATTGAAATGAGCAATTACAAATGGTCTTGCAAACTAGATTACATTTATTGCTTAGAGATGCTGCTGTTTTAAATGTAGTTAGCTCAGTTCATTGTTTTATTAAAAGCTGATATCAAACTCGTGTTGCTGTTATGTTTTTTTGTACTTGAATACGACGCTTGCATTCAATTAGTCAATTATAACAGCTTTACTTGTAAATATACATTTCTAGCATATCATAGTTGGTAAGAGCATAATCCTCACTTCTCTGCATTTTTCGCTGCCAAACCAAACTGTGTTGCTCATGCTTGACGTCATCGATTTTGTATCTCGCTATCTACAGGGCTTTGTCAAAAATGGACCTCAGATTTCTTCATGTTGAAATAAGTTTATAACGAAAAATTCATGTCATTTAAACTTTTCTGGTCACTAGTTATTACGTTGTTAATATTTTTGAAGATTGGACAGGAATTACAAGCAAACCACTGCGGTGAAATGTTTTCATTGCAGCAGAAAATTCCAGTGAAACCAGCGCCGTCGGAAGGACATTCTTATTGGGGGGGGGAGGCTGCCTAAGGTAGTCCGGATTAGCTTGGGTACATCTTTTAATGAGAATGGACACGCCGAGATTAACTACTGCTGCTAACAAAATGTTGTAGTTGTTGATAACAAGCACTTGGTGGTTTAGCTAACTGCTAACGATGTAGGTAAGTTGATGACCTCAGATCATTAGAGTTGATTGCTTGCTAGGACCGTTTAGAATGTTCTAGAAAGTTTCAACGCTTGCTGAAATGAGACTGGTTATGGTGCGTCACCCGTCAAACATAGTTGTTAGAAAAGTTCCTTCGTCCACAATCTACATCATTGCAATGTAGGCTAAAATAGACTAATAGCTATAGTAAATTACAAATAAACCTGGGCGTTCTAAAAGTTTATTTGAGGGCTTCAAGGGGTCCGTTATCTGTAGGCTTTTTGAAAACCTTTTGAATGTTTGTTTACTTTATTAATATTCATATATTGAGCATGGGCACCACAGAAAAGTTTTCTTGTCCATTATCAACGATTCAATCTCTTGAGGCATATCCTATCAGCAAATAGTCAGAAAAGACCAAATTCTTCAACTTTAATTGTTTCCAATCTAAAAAGCAAGTATATAAAGAATAACTGTCTAAAAGTACCAGTATTCTTCGTACACTGTGACATTCTGATTGGTTAGATGAAACAAATGTGACATGGTTTCAGGGTAACATCGCCAATTCGCAAATAGAAACAAGGTTTTTGAAAAGACGAGATATTTCAGTAATGCGATTCTCTACCCTAATTACCTAGGTACAGATCTCCGCCCCTATCTTTTTCCCGCACTTGAATTTATGTGGCTGTGGTACCCAGGAAAGCGAACGAATCTCTGTAATGAACATGGCAAAACAAGTAACAGTTGAAAAATAAGAGACAGGCATGCGAGCTGAAGCTGAGCAATATTCTTATTATTCTGAAAAATTGGGTGATTCTGAGCCTGAATATTCTTATAAACATTATTCTAATGAAAAAGAGTGTAGAATTTTTATCGCAACATAATTATTTCAGTGGGGGCAAAAAGCCCACTCGTGTATTGAAATGATGCTTGCAGTGCTTTTTAGCCTTCCTACCCTTTTAGGAGGGCTAGCCCACTTTCAATGGCTGGCTAGATATTAAATTAAAACTTATGGTCTCGTCATCGCTGAATCTGGCAAAGTTTTAAGCAAATTGACAAACAAGAAACAAATATACATGTGTAGAAAATCTGCAAAAAATCGTTCACAATGAGTTAGTGACTAAAATCCAAAGGAATTCAAATATATATATATAAATAAATATATATATATATATATATATATTTAAGTGTTACTGTATGTAACTTTTCAACTGACATGGGCATAAATTTCGAAAAGCAGGCGCATAAATTGACAGGTAGTTTTGGGAGGATGAGGAGTACAAAATCTCCAACTGATAAAAAGTTAATTTTAACTTGATAATAAAATTGTACTAGGTCCTTATTTATTGAACCTTTAACCTTAAATGGTTTGGCGTTGTGCTATACTACTTTCTTAACGTAAATAAATAATCATTGAATTACGATTTTTTTGATTACTCTCTAATTTCCGATTGTCTAAAGCTTTCAAAGATTGTAGGTGTCACACCCCTACATAAATCGGTTTTGTAAAAAAAACGGTCCTATGGTTGAACTTTTCTGTGTGCGAAAAGCAAGATTGGTACCAAGCAGCAGACTTCGGTATACTGGAAAAACCAGACCGTATGACCCTAGGACCCATATGACCCTAGGACCTCTATGACCCATAGGACCAGGGCCGGTCCTATGGGGGTGTGGGGGTGTAACACACCCCCCCCCCCCACCCATGAATGGAAATTTGTGTTTTAGTCGGTAAAATTTGGATTTTGATTGGTAAAATTTGGATTTTGATGGGTAGAGAATCTTTTTTATATTTCGGACGAAAAATTGTCCTTTATGTAATTTTTTAAAAACATTTAAAGATATTAAAAAGTTCTGCAGTTCAGTTTTTCCGTTGATCCAGAAGAGGATATTCAGGAACATCACAGAAGAAAATTAATCCCAAGAAATTTGACAAAAACAGAGACAATTTTAGTCTGGGAGATGCATTTTTAGCCATTCTAGTAGGCTTAATGTCATAAAATTTCTTTCGCGTCGGACCCAACCATGGTGGGTCCTCATATGTCACTAAACTTGATTCTAACCCCCTCCCCCTAGTCTCAATTTTGTGGCTCCCCGTCTCTAAAACAGCAAAGCGCAATGCTCCAGATCGTCTACAATCTCTCACGCTAATTTCGTGCGAGAAATACTTTTCACAGAACTTATCTGTTATCAAGAAGTGGTTCCAGTTGAAGAACAGAAGAGTTCGATTGAGTGTTTCAAAAGGTTGAATAAACTACATGAACACAAAAGCTTTTTTAGAACTTTCATAAAACTAATAGTTTTACAGCTGAAGTTGCTTTGTAATAGCTGAAATTTAAATATTAACAATGCTAAAATATTCTGATTGCATGGACACAGTGTAATGCTGCCTAAATGTACTCGGTAGATAAAAACTTGCACCCCCCCCCCCCCCCCCTCCCCAATAAAAAATTCCTGAAACTGGGCCTGCAAAGGACCATTAACTACGATGAACCATCAACGACGGACTTGCCGTTACCCCCTAGTTGATGGTCCTAGGGTCATGGGGTCTGATTTTTCCAGTATCCCGCAGACTTATCAAAGAGAGCCCCATTCAATTTCCCCACTTATAATTCGGTTTTAATTTCTTATGGTTTCAATGGGTTTCCGGCTTTATGTTTATCTATTCGACTTTTGTCAGAGCAGTTTAGTAATTTCCGCAACGAACCAGGCCAACAAATCCTGGTGCAATATAATGTACTATGTGTTTTTAAAAGTTTTGCAAATTTTAGTAAAACTTTTTACGCTATCTGCAACAATTTTTTTTCCTTTCACTATCTGAAAGGTCTAGAAAGAAATTCACTTTTTGCGGAGCAGCAGCTGAAGAGATCTTGGTAGTATCAAAAGAATTTTTTCAGGATTTCAACTTCAATAGAAATAAAAATGAAACTTTGAGAGTGCTTTGAAACTATTAGTCTAATTAAAGATTTTGGAGGAGCTTTTGCATCACAGACAGAAAAAGTTTAAATCATTTTGCTTTGATTGGCATCTAAAAGGTGAATGGGTGATTCAGTGGCATAGCTTGACCTTCCAGACTAGGGTAGTGGAAGGTCATTACCAGTAAAATTTACCGACGAAGACATAAATGAAAGGAAATTTAGGATTTTACCGACAAACCAGGGAATTTTTCTACTTATTAAAAATTTACCAACAAACTCATAAAACATTTTGGGGTGGGTGTCACACCCCCGAACACACCCCTGCTAGTTACGCCCCTGGGATGATTTGATTCCTTGCGAGTACAGGGTCTGTGTAATCAAGAGCCAAATTGCATTCGAGGAATGAATTGAGGGTCTGTGTAGCCAAAAGCCAAACCGACAGGGCCATTGCTTGCTATATTGTGCTCAAGTTTCATTTGCCAACAAAGTGGTTTCCTAACCTATATTTGCCAACATGTCTGAAACTTTGCAGATGAAGCACCTTTAAATGGCAAAAAACTCCTCGCTTTGGCAAAGGGATATTTTCCAATGGAGGTGCCATCAGTGGCGCTGGAAGCACGGGGGCAGCGGGGGCAGCGGGGGCAGCGGAGGCAGCACTGTGCCCTTGAGAAAATGGCACTGTGTTTATGCGAATGGAATAAATATATAAGCAAATAAAATATTGGGTGCCATTGTATGAACTCATCTACAATAATGCTCTTCGTTTTGATAACACTTTAAAATGTAGGAAATAATAATAATAATCCTAATAATAATAATAATAATACAATATTTCTTTTTACACGATTCAACCCTTCATAACAATTATTAATAATAAATAATATTTTTAAAGTTGGCGTACTAATACGCAAATGAACGTCTAATAGCTATAAAGAACTAATTTAGGCCAACTATCTATAAAGAATTAGTATTAAATAAATATATGATACAATATTAAAAATGTTTATGCAACGACTGATATGGTATAGCGATAAAATGTTTATGCAAGATTACAATATTAAAAATGTTTATGGTATAATGTACTAAATAAAACCTAACCCAGCAATAAATATTTTACACAATCTACAGTCGCATTCTATAGGGTGTGCTCTTAATTCTTTTTTAAATGTTGCCAATGATTGGGACTCTCTTATACTGTGAGGTAGTGTTTGCCACAGTTTTTGACCTAAATATCTCACAGTTTCTATACCATAAGAAGTTGTCCTGGCTTTTGGAATGCAAATATTATTTTTAGTTCGCAAATCATAATGTACATTTCTTGTTTCAAAAATCTCACTCATGAAGCTAGGGTTCAGGTTACGTTTGGTTTTGTATATTTCTATCATCAAGTACTGTAGATTGCGTTTGTGAATTGATACTGCATTATCCAAAGTCAGCAATGCTTCGCAGTCAGCATAACTGTCTTTATAAACAATTCTGAGTGCTCTTTCGTGGATTTTATTCACTTTAGCATTCAGACATCTGTCATGGAACCTTCAAGTTAGGGAGCAGTAGCTAAACTGAGCTTTTATGAAGCTGTTCATTAGGAGACGCAGTTTATCAGAACCCATAAATGGCGAAACTGTAGCAAGGGCATGCAATTTTTGGCGGG